TCAAGAATGATTTCATTAATTCCCAGTCTGTACTTTTTTTCTTGCTTTTATCATATAGTAAGTTGGCTAAGGTGTCCATGTCCATTAAGTCCCTGGTTTTTAATAGCCAGTCTTCAGTGGTTGGCACATCTTTTTTTCTCCACTTACTCGCAAGAACAGTCCTTGCTGCAGCTGTTAGGTGGTATAATAACTTCTCTTTTCCAGCTTCTATCTTGAAATCTATTAGGTGGAGTAAATAATATTCCGGTCTTAACTCGAACTTAGTCTGTATGATTTGTTGAATCTGCTTGTGGATCTCCGTCCAGAAACTCTTCACTTTCTTGCATTGCCACCACGAGTGGAAATATGTCCCCAAATGGGAGCCACACTTCCAGCAGCTATTGTTCACCCCTTTGTAAAATTTCGCTATTTTCTGAGGTGTAAGATGCCAGCGGTAGGCCATCTTGAACCAGTTTTCTGTTATCGATGTCGCCTTTGCAAACCTAATTTTCCCTTTCCAGACTGTTTCCCACTCCTGGAGGAGTATAGTATGCCCAAAATCAGTAGCCCACGCGATCATGCTTTCCTTAATTAGTTCCGTTTCTGTGTCCCATGTAAGGAGTTTTTGATAGAGCGCTCTTATCAGTTTTTTTTCTTTCTTCATTATTGAGTCCCAAAAGTTGTCTTGTGATGCAAAACCGTCTTTTTTGTCCTCCCTAAAGGCATCTGCCACTTGAAAGTAGTGGAACCAAGACAAATTTTCGTCCATCCTCCTGATTGCGTCTATCGATTTCAATTTCCATTGATTGTCCTTATTTTCTAATAGTATTTTATAGGTGTGCCAGTTGTTGCTTGGGAACTCTCTCTTGTGATTGGCTTCAATAGGTGATAACCAAAGGGGAGTTTTATTGTAAAAGTTTCTTTTATATTTAACCCATACTTTGAGGAGAGCTGCTCTGACAAAGTGATTGGTGAAGTTTTTCTCGATTTTTGCTTTGTCGTGCCAGAGATAGGAATGCCAGCCTCTTCGAATGTCGAATCCCTCTAGGTTTAAAAGTCTTTTCTTTGCGAGCGTGGTCCATTCCTTTACCCACGTTAGGACACAGGCCTGGTAGTAGAGCTGAAGATTTGGTAGGGTCAGGCCTCCTCTTTCCCTTGAGTCTGTCAGCGATTTGTAATTAATCCTAGCCTTCTTTCCGCTCCACACAAATTTCAGGACGTCTCTCTTCCATTGTGTGAAGCAGTGGTTGGTCCTAAGTATCGGGATCATTTTAAAGAGAAAAATCATTTTTGGGAGTAGATTCATCTTCACGATGGCAATCCTGCCTAGCAGGCTGAGGTTTAGGTGTTTCCAGCTGTCCATCTTCTTGGTGATGTCTTTCCAAGTTGTTTCATAGTTGTTTTTTATCAGCTGGGCGTTGTTTGCTGTGAGGTGAATCCCCAGATATTTTATCTTATTGGTGATCCCGAACTGTGTTTTTTCCTGTAATTTGTCTTTTTTCGCTGAATCCATATTTTTTGTCAGGATTTTGGTTTTGGCTTTATTGATTCTCAGACCTGAGATTTTCCCATAGTTGTTTATTTTGTCCGTCCACTCTTGGATCGTCTCTATCGGGTCCTCAAGTATACAGACAATATCATCGGCATAGGCCTTTACTTTAAATTCATCCTTCCTAATTTTGGTGCCCTTCAGGTTTGCATCTCTCCTTATTTCTTCCAGCAGAATTTCTAATGTCATAATGAACAACAGGGGCGAAAGTGGGCATCCCTGCCTGGTACCTTTTTCGATGGTAATGTTTTCTGTTTCTTGCCCATTAATCCGAATTTTTGCCCTCTGTGTGGAGTATATTGTACTTATGACATTGGTGAAATGGAAGCCCATATCCTTTTCCCTGATTACTTGAAGCATAAATTCCCAGCTGACGCAATCAAAAGCCTTTTCTGCGTCCACGAACAGCAAACCCAGCTCTTTCTGCGTATTGACTGCATAATACTCTATTATATTCAGGACTGTTCTTAAATTTTCGCTCATGTGCCTTGTTGGGAGGAATCCCGTCTGGTCCTCATTGATGGTGGCACTTAAGAGTTCTTTCAATCTGTTTGCTATTATGCTAACGAAGATTTTATAGTCTGTGTTGAGGAGCGAAATTGGTCTGTAGCTTTTCATGTTTTCTGTGTCAGTGGTTTCTTTTGGGATGAGGGAGATGGTTGCTTCTCGCCAGGTGTCTGGCATTCTGGCTTCAGATTGGATGTTGTTAAATATTATTTTTAAATGTGGAACCAGCTCTTCCTGGAAGGTCTTATAGTACTTTGCCGAGAAGCCGTCGGTGCCCGGTGCCTTGTCTCTGGGCATATTGTTAATGGCTTTCCTGATTTCAGCTTCCTCTATCTGTTTGTTGAGGGATTCTCTCTGCTCATCCTTAATTTTCTCTATTTTATGCTTTGCCAGGTATTCTGTGATGTCTTCCATTCGGATTTTGTCCTTTTGATAAAGTTCGTTGTAGAAAGTCCTGAATTGGTTTTTGATGTCTTCCTCTGTATGGTAGCTCTTCCCGTTTCTTGAAATTTTGGCAATGTGATGGTGTTGCTTTTTCTTCAAGAGTTTCCTTGCTAACCATTTACCCGGCTTATTTGCGTTAGCAAAATAGTTAACCCTCATATATTTTATATTTTTTGCCATCTTTTCTAGTTGGTAGGAGTTCAACTGTTTTCTCAAGAGTTCTGTTTCTAGTTTAATTCTCTTACTTCTTGGCTTTCTCTTAAGTTCGTCTTCCTTTCTCTTTAAGTCCTTCGTGAGGGCGCTTAGTTCCTCCCGTCTCTTCCTATTCCTTATCGCACCCTGCTGGATGAAGTGCCCCCGCATTACCGCCTTCCCGGCGTCCCAAATCACTTCTTCTTTTATCTCTGCACTCTTATTTAGCTCAAAGAATTCCAGGATAAGTTTTCTATATTTCTCTACGTCCTCCTCAGATCTTAATAGATATTCGTTTAGTTTCCACTTCCGTTGGGGTGTTGTTCCTTGGAGTTCTGTTAAGATGGGACAGTGGTCGGACGTTGCTCTGAGCAAGATCTGGATCTTATTTATCTTGTTCATTAGGGAATTGGATGCCCAGAGCATGTCGATCCTAGACCATGATGAGTGCCTGTCCGAGAAATAAGTAAAGTCTCTTTTTTCTGGGTTTCTCATTCTCCAGGCATCCTCAAGAAAGAACTCTTTTTTTAGTTGCAGGAAGCTGGCTGGTAACTTCCCTCCGTTCAGGTCTTTTCTGTTCTTTTTTGTTCTATCCATGCTACAGTCTAACACCCCGTTGAAATCTCCCGTTATGATCAGCTCCGTGTTAACAAATTCTGAGAGTCTTTTCCTAAGTTCCTTTACAAAGCTGGTTTTTGGACCTGTAGGGGCATATATGTTGCATATTAGAGTTTGCTGTTCATTTCTTCTGATCAAAATCCCGATCATCCTCCCTTCCTCATCTTTAAAGGCGAAGGTTGCTTTTAATGCTTCTCTGACATAGATTACTACACCTCTTTTTTTTTGTGATGCCAGTGCGAAAAATTCGTTACCAAGTTGTGGGTGTGCCAAAAGTGTGCTGTGTTTTTTAGAAATATGCGTTTCCTGAAGGGCAATGATGTCATAGTTGCCTTTCTTGAGCGAATTAAAAATAAGTCTTCTTTTGTTTGGGGAGTTCAGTCCATTGACGTTATTGGAGAATATTTTAAGACTACTCGTCATTGACTGATTGATTTGCTTGAGTTAAAGGTCCCATGTCCTTTTCTCCCTCTTCGTTGTCCAGTGAGTCAGGCCTTGGTCTTTTCTTGTCTTTTCTGTTTCCGTCTCCCTCCTTCCTCCTGTCCTTTGTGTGGTCAAAGTGCGGGTTGGTTCGTTCCCCCTCTCTGTGGGTGCTTGGTGTTTGAGCCAGGTCTTTTTGGAGTTTTTTATAAAAATCTTTTGCTTTATCTTCAGTTGTTAACCAAAATTTGCTCTCCTTATACGTCACTTGAATTCCCTCTAGACGCTCCCATCTAAATTTGATCTTATGTTTTTTAAGCTCATCTGTCAGGAAATAATATTTTTTCCTCTTATTCAGTTTTACACAGTTTTGCGCAGTTTTACACAGTTTTGATGTAATTGTAGAAACACATAGTATTTTCTAAAAATAAATTCTTGGGCATGGTCAACACAAAGCTGCCTAAATTATGCAGCCTTCTAGAATGAAACCCATAGCAGTTTTAGCCAAAATAGTCCATGATGAAGAATACAGGGACCAGCAGATCCATATGGGGAGAGTTGTGCAATGCAATCACTGTTTACAATTTATCTCCAATTTTCTGACATTTGATCTAAAGGAGTCAAGAGAGAATGCTTCTAGAACATGACCATGTAGCCCGAAAAACCTACAACAACCCTCACATAGGGTTCCCAGAAATATATCAGTGACAGGAAAAATCTTAAGGTGAAAGCACTATCTTGGAACCAGCTTACCTGCCTGAATGTATCTATGAACCATTGGAGGTTAAGATTGTCTGGGGAGGCCCTGCTCTCAGTCCTGCCTCCTTTGCAGGCACGACTGGTGGGGACGAGAGACAGGGCCTTCTCATTAATATGTCTTAATTATTTGGATGTAATGCATATGTTTGGTTTTATCCTATGTATGTATATGTGACATTGAATTGTGCCTTTTTTGTGAGTCGTCCTGAGTCCCCTTTGGGGTGAGAAGAGTGGGATACAAATGCAGTAAATAATAATAAATAAACGAACTTGTAAGTCTACATTATTTTCTGCTCTATTAAACTGTTGCTAATTTGAATAGCATTGCCTAAAATTGTGCTTGAAAATTAATGTATTGTGCTTACTGATACTGCAACGATACATTCTCCGAGTCTTAGGTTTGAGTCCTGAATTCTTAAGAGCCTGGGATAGTTCTAATAAAGCAACCTTAGTGTGAATGGGAATAAGGTAAATACATCTTCCTATGCATTTAGCTTTCTTAGTCATTCAAATCAACAAGAAAACAAACAAATGGCTTTCAATCAGTCGTTTTTATTTTTTTTAAAAAAATGTTTATATAAGCTTTTTTAAAAACCCAAAAGAAAACTTTACCCCAAAAAAGAGGAGGAAAGATCCATGTTACAAAAATAAATTGCAGCATAAATTAGCCTATTATTTCTTTTGTAACTAACACCCAGTGAGTTCCTTTTATAGTCGAAGGCATGAAATGAACAACGTAACAGTGTTTAAACATGACATGTCGCATTTTGGATATGAACAATTAAGTTTTACTAAGTATGAACTAAAAAAAGTCCTTCTGTTTCATTTCACCCCACTCACCTATCATTGAAAACAATTCACCCAACATTCATTTAAACAGAAAGTGACCGAAATGAAACATTATTTAGGCTTTCATGATCCAGAAGCCATGATAGCCGAGGATCATTCCCCAGATCAGTCTTAAATACAATAAAATATCAATGAAATCACTGCAACAAATATCCATAATTTAGAATAATGAGCTGATGATATTGAAGTAATTCGAGGTAGATCTGTTGGAACTGTAGCAGTGTCGTGACTCTTCAAGAGCAGACTTCACTCAAATGACAGAACAGACAAAATGGATAGATGCTTAGCAGCAATAGGGACCCATTGGCCAGGAATGTTTGATGTGTAACAGCTAGGAAAAGTTGATCCAATTTGCACATGAGCAACACCTGCACTTTCCACAAATCCCTTCATTTCCTCAGAACTTGCCACAAGATAAATTCACCATATGTTACAATCTGTTTGTAAATCTCCAATCACAAAACTCTTCGGTTTGATATTTTCCCCTCTACTTACAGTAGAGTCTTGCTTATCCAACCTTCGCTCATCCAACGTTCTGTATTATCCAACTCGGTCTACCTCCCATCCGGATCCACAGCTGTTTCAATACATTGTGATGTTTTGGTGCTAAATTCGTAAAAACAATAATTACTACATAATGTTACCATATATTGAACTGCTTTTTCTGTCAATTTGTTGTAAAACATAATGTTTTGGTGCTTAATTTGTAAAATCATAATGTAAATTGACGGTTAATAGGTTTTTTCTTAATCCATCCTTATTATCCAACATTTTTTGTTTAGCTAACATTCTGCCGGCACGTTTATGTTGGATAAGTGAGACTCTACTGTATATCCAAAAGATTTCTTCATTAGTGTTTTAGAGGCTCAGAAAAGGATATGTGGGAATAAAGAGAAACATAGTCTGTTTTTTTTTTTCTTTCTGCCTGCCGGTATTTTTAAATCAATGAGTCAAGTGTTATATAATGAGCTACCAAGAGTAAATCAAATGAATTTGTCATTTACATGCAAAAACATATTTATCCACTTATGCAGACGACCCTACTTGTGACTTGTTTGGGCTGTGTCTCTATGTACTCTGCTGTTTTTTTAAAAAACCCTTATGTGATAAAACCGTTCTACAATTATGGGCTATTTGCACCTATACATGATTGAGGCAACCTAATTGGAGGAATGTACTAGGCTTTTTGCTGGCATGTTAAACTTCACTGACCTTAATTCCTGTTAATGGGTGCTTACAATTTTACCAGATTGTGTACCGTGATCATTCAGGACTAATCTCTTTACTTTGCAAAAGTGGTCTATCATTTTGACATCAGTACGAGACAATTTGATATCAATTTGTTGCTAACATAAGGCACCTCAGCTTGGCACCAAATAAAATTATCTGAACAGGACAGTTAATCCCAATAAAGCATGATTAAACTGCGAGGGAAGCGGGAGCGGAACGCCTTTCAACTTGTGTGTACAGTTAAGAATCAACATTAAAGCTGAATGCTAGTCCCCAAGAACGTGTTCTTTCTTTCCGCTGAAATGGACAGAGGTGACCATGTTAAAATCAATGCCGTTATTCCCCGAGCTCCATGTACAGTCAAATGCACACATGCGCTCTTGTTAAAGCAAGCCACCCCACACACCTCAATGGAATTGGCCATAGAGCACCTTCTGGATGGGGAGGAATTCTGAGACCAAGATCCCATTCATTCCTGGCAGTTAAAAAATTCTTGATGGTGGGGTTAAGCCTCCTGTGGGAAATTAGATCTATGGAGAACTGGATATTCTTTCAATGGGATCCTTGGAGTGAAGGCACTATTACAGGGGTAGCTTAAAAATTTGTCCCATATGTTTGATTCATGTTTCTGTTTTGTCCTGTCCATTTGGATGGCATGAAACGGAAAAGGCCCTCCTAGAACGAAAATGCAATCGATACAAAAAGCAGGTGGGAGTGGGTACCGGCTCCAAGCCTGCTTTTCAGATTGATTGCCTGGGGCGCTTCTTACTCGGTGCTAGGCTACAGGCCCTGCCAGGCCCGGGCATGTAGGCTGGGAAGCCTGCACCCTTAGGTCCAAAGCGCCAGGGCCTATGGGTGCAGGCTTTGGCCCTACGCACCCTGGCCTCACAGGACCTGCAGCTGAGCACTGAGTAAGGAGCGCCCCTTACTCAGAGCTCGGCTGCAGGTCCTGTGAGGCCTGGGCACAAAGGCCAGCAAGGCTATACCCATAGGCCTGGGTCCTTTGGGCCTACGGGTGAAGCCTCCCCCCCCCCCAATAATGGGCCGAAAGAAAATAGATCTTTCAGCCCCAAAAACAAAAAACAAAAATCTGACTTCCTGATTTCGGGAGGCTCAAACAAAAATGGATCGGGGCCCCTGCAGAAAGCTGGGTCACGAAAAGAATCAAGGTAAGTCCCGAATGTACATGACTAGTGCCTATCCATTGAAAAAGTAACAGACTCTATAGCAGACATAGGCAAACTCTATAGACAGCTGCCCTCGGATAGGAGATACATACCACTTTGCCACTACTTTCTCCTCTGATGAAAATTGGAGCATATGCATACAACAGGTAGTGGAGATGCCACTGTGGTTCAGTAAGGCTTTTCTGCTTGCACCAGATTGTGGATACATTGATGCTGGGGCAGTGAAAGTGTCTGGCCACTGCGTTATTATTATCTGTTGTATGTGCAATTTGACATACAATATCTTCGCCTCAGCTCCCAGATGCACAAACAATTTGTGTCTGACAGCACATGGCCCCCAAACTGCTGAGGTTGTATCTGTGCCTTTGCTTCTCGCCATCTTGTTTAGCTTAATGGCGACGTCTTAAAAAATAAGGCATACTGTTTACTGAAGTAGTAAATTGCAATCCCTTTCCCCTGTTTTCCTCTTCTAAATTCATTATCATACAAGTTATTTCTTGATCCTTCTTAAAAACAAGTAAAGAAAATCAATCCCTTTTTAAAAAATTTCCCCACAAGATATACCTGATTGTCGAATTAACCATAAACCTTTGCCCTTCATAAATGTGCTTCGCTTTAGAATATAGATATTCGTACTAGTCACGAAAATGTCAATATTATCCACCCTCTCTTGCTTTTGTTTGGGCAACAAACAACAGGGTTTTGTAAATCTTGGAAATTGTTCTTGTAATGGCAATGACAAATATTCTTCTTTCGCTAGAGAGCACAGAGTACTGCATTTTGGGAGAAAGAGGGGATAACGTTTTACTCAGATTGAGATAACAGTAATAATAATATATATCTAAAATATCCCTACAGCAGTGCGTTCAGATTACCGATTTCTCCTTACTGCCCTAAGCACTACCCTAAAGCACCCGTCTCTTTGAAGAAACCCATGGCGCATTTAAGACGTACAATGCCACAATATCATAAAAATGGAACTGAGAGAATTGTCTTGAGAAACAGTTAGCTTTGAAGGAATGTCTAGACAACTGTGTCAACAAATGCAAATAATTTATGCTTTTCAATTCCTTTCCAACGGATGGCCCCATGCTGAGTGTACACAAACTCAGAAGAAAAAGGCATGTCACAATCATACGGGTTGAGAGGGTTATGGAATCACACAGAAATTCAAGTTAGTCTTGACTGGAACTTCACGAACTGCTTTCCTGCAACTAATCGCAAGAGAATAGTCCTCCTTTTGTTTTGTCTGGGACCAACACACAGGTGTGAATGGTTTGCACTCTCCGGCACAAAGCACAACCCCTGTCCAGTCTTTGCTTGGTTCCATGGGAAGGGTGTAAGAGAAACACTTGGTGGAGTTGCACTCAATGCCTCTGAGGTGGTGACGGAAGCTTCAGTCTTTCACTACTCAGTCAGGAAGAAAAATCAAAATCACACCTCACACACACACCCAGTTGTGTGCAACCTCTTATTGTAACCAGCCATCTGATTTTGGAATCAATGTTTTTTGTCAAATATATTTTAAGGCACTTTCATAGATATTTTAAATATATTTGTGTTTATAAAAATAATGTTAAGTGCTGAAGCGACATTCGAATATGCCCGTCTTCCAAATTGTCTCTCTGTGTATGTACAAAATAGTACATATATACATTCGCTGGACCTCTTCTATTGTTATACCTTCACGGGTGCTTTGGGCTGCTTTGTTAATTTCAGTGCCTGCAAACAGTAAACAAAGCATCATTATTATAAAGGCAGGATTAAACATCATTTACTTTTAAAGTTGTGGCTTTCAAGTGTCGAAAAGCTGTCTAAGGTAGTTGTGAGAGGCCCCTGCTTTGGCCACACATTTTGATGCTGAAATACCCAGGAATACAACATGCCCTCAGTATCCATGGTTTCATTGATTTGACAAAACATGCCCTCTCTAGGAATTTTCTAGGCCCTCCAGTATGCATCTATAGTATTCTGGAATCATACACCTTTCCTTGTGGACAACAAGCTAAACATGAGCCACCAACGTCATGTGGCAGCTAAAAAAGCCAACAGGATTTAGGCCTACATCAATAGGAGTCTAGTGTATAGATCCAGGGAAGTCATGATCCAGGTCAGACCAAACCTGGAATACTGTGTCCAATTCTGGCCACCGCCATTGAAGGGAGATTTAACAAGGTGGAATGTGTCTAGAGGAGGGTGACTAAGATGATCAAGGGTCTGGAGAACAAGCCCTATGAGGAGAGGATTAAAGAGCTGGGCATGTTTACCCTGCAGAAGAGAAGGCTGAAAGGAGACATGATAGCCATGTATAAATACATGAGGGGAAGTCATAGGGAGGAGGGAGCAAACTTGTTTTCTGTTGCCCTGGTGACTAGGACACGGAATGATAGCTTCAAACTACAGGAAAGGAGATTCCACCTGAACATTAGGAAGAACTTCCTGACTGTGAGAGCTGTTCAGCTGTTCTGCCCCAGACTGTGATGGAGGCTCCTTCTTTGGAGGCTTTTAAACAGAAGGATGGATAGCCATCTGTCGGGGGTGCTTTGATTGTGATTTTCTTGTTGCTTGGCAGGGGGTTGGACTAGATGGCCCATGAGGTCTCTTCCAACTCTATGATTCTATGATTTCAATTATTCATGGTTTCCCTTATCTACCCAAAGTTCAGGGGCATATCCCTTATAGATATATAAATCAACATATGGACATATGTGTGGACTGCAATGTGTGAACACCTTCTTCTAGAGTTTACATCACTGCTTCACAGTGCTTGGAAAAGTTACTTTTTGGAGCATATCCCCAATTGTAGCTGCAACATATAAATTTTTATGTTTTCTCATGCTCTTATACTTAAGATATGGAATTGCTTTGTTTTCTGCCACTTGCTGAGCTCAACTTCCACCCGCAGGAATTCCTGAAGTCAGGAAATTGAATTGCACATCTGACATAACATGGACACCAAAGGTCTGGTAATTTTTAGATACAACTAGAAACCGCCTGCTGTATTCTTCTAGATTCCTGGATTATCATTTCCCATTACAAATACTTTATGGGCACATTTTGGTTCCTTTCTGGAGAATACAAGAGACTGGCTCACTGGATATCTAAGGCAGGCATAGCTTCTCTCGAGAGTAGAGCCAATAGGGCAATACAGGTAGAGAAAGAGTCTTCTTGCAAATGGAAAAAGAAGATAGCAGTTCTCAATTGTTCAAACACATTGTCTTTAAAAAAACATCCCCTTCTTTGTTTGCTTACTGAGCTTTGGTGACTCCAATTTCACTGCAAGATCCAATCAAAGAGCAGTTGGATAGGTCTTGACTAGCGCAAATTTCTGTTAGTTTCTTGTTAAAACAGCAAAAGCAAAATTGTAATAATCGATACTATATGGATAAATAGGAAAAGTTGTTACTGCTTTCATGTTTTGAGATTTCTGCAACTTCTGATACTAATGGAAATTTCATATGGCATGGGCTGATCTCAGTCCTCAATTAATTGCGAAGCAAGATACAACAATACATAATGTGCAATGTCCATTTCCTTTTTGAAAAAAAATCTGGCAATACAGATTCTCGAATGAAAGTAAAACAGACTGATTAACTACAACAGACAACATCACTCAAGCAAAGACTGCAAGATGGCTTTGCTACCTTTCTGCCTTGGGTTTAATTTTACTCATATTTGGAAGGAAGGTAAAGATTTCAGATGCTGTTTGGCAAATAATATCTTTTATTTCGGTGCGTGTCAGTTTCTGCTGCACTCCTTGCCTCTTCTTGATGAACCTCTAAATATTTAAATCCTGCTTCATGAAGCGATCATATATTGGTATCATAATTAAGGAAGGATGTCAGTGGAGCTGAGTGCAGTGCCTGGATAACAGTTTTTCACCATGAGAGAAATGCCAAAATGAAGCCAAGTGTTGATAGAAAATAAACATCAAGGTGAAGATGACATGTTTATTTTCAAAGCAGGAGACCATTATTCAGGCATGACACCAACATCTATTGTAATTATTGTTCTTGAAAAACAACAACAAAATCTTCCTGATTTACAAAAATAATAATATTCTCATATAATTAGAAAAAAATATATACTTGGGAAGATAACCTAGAAGGCCAGAAGAAGATGATTTGCATGGCAAAATGACAAATGATCAAAATAAACCTGCCAGGCACTGTAGACTGATTAAGCTCAAAAAGCCCTGATTGGAGGCCAATCATGGGCACATTCAGAGAAAAGAAGCAGACCCCCTGCTGTTTGTGGGGAGGGAATAAAACGGTTCACATTGGATATTCTGAAACTTTCCTGCCTGGATGAATGAAAAGATGAGTGAAACAAGCATTGGCAAGGAAGGGTCCCACTGGGGAAGATTTTTGGGCTCCACGTTTGGACTCACAAAGTTTTGTCTTGGGAAATATCATTTGAGCTGTCAAACAAGTGGTTAGATCATTGCATCTTACATTTTTGATATTCAAATTTATCTCTGGAATGATAGTGAGACATTTGCGATGTTATCCTATTGAAATAATAATAATAATAATAATATACTTTATTTATATTCTGCTTTATCTCCCCGAGGAGCCCCTGGTGGCGCAGTGGGTTAAAGCGCTGAGCTGCTGAACTTGCTGATCAAAAGGTCGCAGCTTCTAATCCGGGGTGCGGGGTGAGTTCCCACTGTTAGGCCCAGCTTCTGCCAACCTAGCAGTTGGAAAACATGCAAATGTGAGTAGATCAATAGGGACCGCTCTGGCAGAAAGGTAATGGCACTTCATGCAGTCATGCTGGCCACATGACCTTGGAGGTGTTTACGGACAATGCCAGCTCTTCAGCTTAGAAATGAAGATGAGCACCAACCCCCAGAGTCAGATACGACTGGATTTAATGTCTGGGGAAAACTTTTACCTATCTCCCCAAGGGGACTCAGAGCAGATTACAGAACACATAATACGGCAAACATTCAATGCCGTTATAAATGAACAAAGACAGAAAGTATATAAACAGAGGCAAAAACTTCCTATCTTTTTCCATCTCTGGCATCTGAAGGTTGTGCTCAACTCTGGCCATGTGGAGGTGCTGTTGTTCTATTTTCCATGCTGAGGAGCTTGATGTCTGTGGATGCCTTCCTGATCAAATTGCTGGCATGTCTTCATGGGTGCCTTTTTACCTCCCCACCAAAGCGATACCTATTAATCTACTCACGTTACTGTTTTCAAACTGCTAGGTAAGCAGAAGCTAGGACTGACAGCTAACCTCGACCCATGGCTTGAACTACCAATCTTCTGGTTGGTAAGATTTTCTGCAGCTTGTGGTTTAATCCACTGTGTTATTGTTGTAGTATTTTAATTAAATATCTTTTAGCTACAACTAGGCTGGAAATGAGTGAAACTGAGAAGACTCTATGAACCTCTCTGGGAAATTTGCTCAGAAAAGCCCCCCCCCCCCCCCAAAAAAAATCCCCTTCCCACCATGTATTCCTGTCTACAAGCTTTTTGGGAACTGCTCTCTCATCTATGCTGAGGAAAATCATACACTTCAATCTTCAAATTACTTTATCAACTTATGCTCATGTTAAGCAATGCATGATAACAATGGGGAAATATGGCAGAATGACGTGAGTCTCTCTGGACATGCTTGCAGGCCCCATTAACTGATGTATTCTTTTAATCCCCATGACAGGTCACATATTTTTCAAACCCAAGCCTGATTTCCCACTCTATAGATTGATATGATTGATAGGGTTAATTCTGACAATGTAACCCATCCTTCTTAAACTTGGTGCTCTTCAGAATCTTTGGATTCAATCTATCATCCTTGAATGCTGGCCACGTCGATGAGGGCCAGTGGAAATTTATAGTCACCAATTCTTACCTTTTGTCTAGAAATCATCCAAGATTTTATTGTCGGCACTAAGACGCTGCCTAGGAGGATCTGCGCTGGGTGATAGATGAGTAAAGGGACAGAAATTAAGGATAGGTGCTCATAGCCTTCAAAGACGATCTTCAGCATTGGTATTCCTGTGGGCAAAAAGACAGCTGAATTTAAGAATGCTTTGATGTGTTTTCTGTGTTGAGGATCACAGAGAAGCATTTTACTTTTTTTAAACATTTCACTAGGATTTCAAAGAAAAAGACCTTCCCGCCCTCTTCTTACCAAAAGGCAGTTCACAAAGATTGAAGACACAGAAGTGCCTTGTAAGAGGCAGAGGAACACGAGTGAGTACACAATCATCCCTCTCTGAGGAAAAGAGGTGAAACCAAGAATACTATAGAGATTCCATATACAATACAAATTATCCATCCTTTGGGACTCAATGCAAGTATGTACACCACTAAATGACAACTGCAGGGCACATAGATTCTTCCAATACTTGCTTCTAATTACCTTTGTGCCAAATTACTTATGACCACGGCTATTTACAATCCACACATTTATGTTACATTGTCTTCTCTCAGTAAAAGATTCTTACATTTCTGGGCTGATAAAGAAGGGATTGCAATCAATTAGGTAAGATGTTTCTAGATATTCCTTCAATTTAGTGAACAGATGATAGTCACTGGTCATCCCAACCAAATGAAGTCAACAACTCTTATGTTGCATGAGCAATGTACAGGTGTGCATTGTCATGAAGGAGACAGACTCCCACCATCAGCATCCCACAACGTTTGTTTTGGATGGCTCTGCAAAGATTGTTCATGGTCTCACAATATAATCCATACCAATTTTGTTACATGCTGTCTTGTCATTACGTCCTCTCCATAAACTGAAATGATTTTGCAATGAATTGCAATGGTGTCCATGCCCTTAGCATTTAGGTAGCGCAAACTTCGCACTTGGAGGGGAAAGGAATGAGCATGCTCATCTCTAACCTTCACCGCCAGTTGATGTGCTACTGATGACTGGCACTGCTCATTTGCTTCCGATGGCTTTCTGCTACACAGCAGGGATACCAACGTCTTCCTTGTGAGAGCTACGTGCCTTGTAACCTTACTTTCTGGATAACTCTAGTATTTACAATCCCTTCAACTGACTGGCTTATAAATTTAAAAAGCTTGGAAGCAGGAAAATGATGTTACTTGAGAAACAACAGAAATGTTTGTATGCTCTTTTGATTCTGCTGGCTTTCATCCAGGAGATGCTATGTGATCGTTTGAAAAGCTCCTCCTGGATATTTCATCCCACAGTTTTTGTTAATGTAACTCTGGAACATGATATATATTTCAAACAGCAGTGATAAAAACAGGTGCCATGATAGTCAAAATAGGAAAGCACAGAAAATAAAATTAAATCTTTAAAATGGGCAGGAAATAAGATGCTAAGCAAAAAGGATCTGGTTATCTTTGTTTCTTCTGTTCAGTTTTTTTTTCCACTTCAAATGCACACCTCTGATGTCAAGGCACGTGATAGGAACAGAAACATCAATTGAAACACACAAGGACACTTTTTGAAAAGAGTGAATTTTAGAAAACGGATCATGTTGTTTCACTAGATCAGCAATACATCGGTCATGTGACCTGAAGTCCTGGCTATTCAAACAGGTTTTTGAGAACGCCTAGTTCCTAGTTGTTCTACGCAATAGTTATGCAACCTTGCACTTCATCCCATCATCTCGTTCCATAGTCACAGCTCTACACTTATCCCATTCTCTTGTCCTATTCTATACATCCTGGCCATGTTTACAGTATCTTACTGCCATTGGTTAATGAGTGCTGTTTTAATTGAGTCTTAAGTTGTTGTCTTATACAATTGTATCGGAGCCCCCCGTGGCGCAGTGGATTAAACCCCTGTGCCGGCAGGACTGAAGACCGACAGATTGCAGGTTCGAATCCAGGGAGAGGCGGATGAGCTCCCTCTATCAGCTCCAGCTCCTCATGCGGGGACACGAGAGAAGCCTCCCACAAGGATGATAAAAACATCACATCATCCTGGTGGCCCCTGGGCAACATCTTTGCAGACAGCCAATTCTCTCACACTAGGAGTCACTCCTGACATGACCAAAAAAAAAAAAGTAATCGTATTTTGTACTGTGATTTATTTTATTAGGGAGATGGTGGCGGGATACAAGAAAAAGTTGTTGTTGTTGTTATTGTTGTTGTTGAGGTTATCTGTTTTTAAGGGCTGTTTTAAGAGTTTTCTAGGGAAAGCAGTGGGACCTACTGTTCAAACTGGATTTCTAATATAATCACACCTAGTTGGGTGGTTCAATGGAAGACAAGCATGTAGAATGAAGAAGTTCAACTCAGGCTTCAACAATGTTTCAGCTGTTTTTTGATTCATGGACTCAGAGAGACAAAGCATAGGATCATGCTGTGATCTTCAGTACAAGTCTTTTTCCATTTTGTTGCTTTCTCCAGAGGAGTATGCAAAAAAGGGGACTAGACCTTTTAGTTTGAAAGGGTCTTTAAAATGGACAAGCAACCAATGACAGAAGGTTGGCTCAGAGCATTTGTAGTTCCCTCTAGTTCAAGTTTTCTGTATTGAACATCCCACTTCTACTGCAAGGTCTTATCTTGGATAGCCCTACAGCCAGGGTAATTTACTTGTGCTCAAGGAAGACTACATCCAAGGAAAACTATTAGCCCTTCTGATGGTACCCAAGGTAACCACATATTTCCCCCCACCTTTTCTCCTTGCAATCGCTCCCTGTGCTCCCCTTCTAAGCAAGACCCTAAGGAAGCAGTATGCTGAACTTCACTACATGGTACTGAATTGTTGCCAACACTGTGAACCGCCTTGAGTCCCCTTCGGGATTGAGAAGGGCGGTATACAAATACTGCAAATAAATAAATACACATGGCCACCTACAATATATATAGCAAACCCATGGAAGATATGGAGGCATTTTCAAAGACATTTAAATTTAGGTCTCTTTCCATCGCTGAAGCCACAGAAAATGAAGCAAGTACATTTTAATGCTCTAAGGTACCAATTCTGTGTCACCATGGTTGACAGGATCCAAGCAGGCTTAAGGAGATGGCATTTGGCTTTATGGAAGTGAGCACTCTGCACGCATTTGCAATTTTACAGGGACTTTAAGCTGTCATGCTGAAAAATGTTTATAAAACATTAATCAAAAATGCCTCTTTAATACAATGCATTGTCTGAAAGATGTTAGGAAGCACACATTGTAAATGGATTCTTTTTTCTGACTAAAGTAATTTCTACCAAAAGCATTTCCCCACTGCTGTACAAGTACACAGCGAGGATAGATAAAGAGCACTTTCTCAGCACATTACTACCTGATCCAAACACTTGGGAAATCACTAATGTACAGCACGCCATATTTCCATGTCACACATGACACATTTGTCTAAAATTACCCAACAGAGTTTGACATTGCAGCCTATTCTATCGCAGAGCTTTCAACTGACATCTGCCAAGCAAGAACTTCAAGTAAGAGCTTTCTTTTCCTAGCAAGGAGCCAAGAGTTTTCTTTTATCTAATACCCAGGATGGAAAGGATAAAACAGTGAAAACAGGAGCTCAGGTTCCCCCTCCCCACTCACACTCTTGATTTAATATGTTATACTCCCTGAATTTCTGTACTTTCCTCGCTGTAGCATGTCTTACTTGCTGCTTGCAGAGAACTTTTCTTTGTGGATATCAAAACATTTGTTCTCCCTCATACAAATCAGATTCTTCAAATTATTGCTAGATGCCATTCTTAACTAATGTCAACATTAAGATTTCTTTTCCCTAAGCAGACATTTACCAACAGTTTATCTTAGAATCAAGTGTTATATTACTGAATCACACTCAAAACCACTTGTATCTGCACAGTCATATGCATCTTATTTACAGACACACAGTGAGCAGAACAGGAAGAGATAAAGTAATGTATTTACAACACAGACATAGAGTGGGTGGGTGTGCAAAACTTTCCTGTGGAAGAATAGCTTGCCATAATTTTCTCCTTTAAAATCATAGAATCATAGAGTTGGAAGAGACCTTGTGGGCCATCCAATCCAAATCCCTGCTAAGAAACAGGAAAATCGCATTCAAAGCACCCCCAACAGATGGCCATCCAGTCTCTGCTTTAAAACCTCCAAAGAAGGAGCCTCCACTACACTCCGGGGCAGAGAGTTCCACTGCTGAACAGCTCTCAGAGTCAGGAAGTTCTTCCTAATGTTCAGATGGAATCTCCTTTCCTGTAGCTTGAAGTCATTGTTCCACATCCTAGTCTCCAGGGGAGGAAAAACCAGTTTGCTCTCTCCTCTCTATGACTCCCCCTCACATACATGGCCATCATGTTTCCTCTCAGCCTTCTCTTCTGTAGGCTAAATATGCCCAGCTCTTTAAGCTGCTCCTCATAGGGCTTGTTCTCTAGACCCTTGATCATTTTAGTCATCCTCCTGTGGGCACATCCCAGCTTGTCAATATCTCTCTTCAATTGTGGTGCCCAGAATTGGACACAGTATTCCAGGTGTGGTCTGAGCAAAGGAGAATAGGATCTAGACACTAGACTCCTATTTATGCAGGCCAAAATCCCATCGGGTTTTGGGTTTTCTTTTTTTCTTTTTTGCTGCTGCATGACATTGTTGGCTCATGTTTAACTTGTTGTCCCTGAGGACTCCAAGATCTTTTTAATTTTTTCTGTCTAAGCGGAGTATCTTGCATTTGTCCCTGTTGAACTTCATTTTGCTAGGTGGTCCATCTCTCAAATTCTGCTCCTGTCTTCTGGAGTATCCCTCCCAATTTGATGTCATATGTAAACTTGATGGTCATGCCTATTATTATTATTATTATTATTATTATTATTATTATTATTAAACTTTATTTGTACCTCGCTAGCATCTCCCGAAGGACTCAATGCGGCTTACAAAGGCCAAGGCCTCAACACAACAGCAAAACAATAACAATACAATTCAAAGCAAATTAAAAACATAAGCAATAACAAAACATTACATCATTACGCAATAAAACCAGGGCCGGGCCAGTGGTGGGTACAGGTTAAAAAGTGCTGGGTGTGGCAGGTGGTATGTTGGATTTCTGGGCAAGTGCAATGTACAGAGTGTCTT